TTTTTGCGCACCGACACTTCGCTGCCGCCGTTCTACGTTCTCGTGTACGTCGACGACTTGGTCTTTGCCACTGCTGACACTGAGGCTCTCGCCCTGGTGAAGTCGGAGCTGCAGAAGAGACACACGTGCACAGACCTGGGTGAACTGCGCAGCTACCTTGGCTTGCAGATCACCCGGGACAGAGCACGCCGCACCATCACACTGACTCAGTCACACATGGTGCAGCAGGTCCTTCCGCGCTTCGGTTTCACCTGGTCCTCAGCACAGGCCACTCCTCTGGCTACAGGTCACTCGCTCTCAGCTCCACCTTCGGACGAGTCCGTAGAGTCGAGTGGTCCTTACCCAGAGTTAGTGGGCTGCCTCATGTACCTGATGACTTGCACTCGTCCTGACCTTGCGTACCCTCTTGGCCTTCTGGCTCGCTACGTGGCTCCCGGTCGGCACCGAAAGGTGCACATGGATGCTGCCAAGAGGGTACTACGCTACTTGTGCAGTACATCGGGCATGGGGCTCGTGCTTGGAGGACGGGGTGACGTTGTCCTCACTGGTCACTCGGACGCTTCTTGGGTTGACGACTAGGCTACGCAGCGGTCGCCACAGGGTTACACCTTCAGCCTTGGCTCTGGTTCAGTTTCTTGGCGTTCTACACGTTCGTCTTCAGTTCTCGGCTCCAGTTGTGAGGCTGAGATCTACGCCACAGCCATGGCTGCACAGGAGCTTCGCTGGCTCACCTACCTGCTGACTGACTTGGGAGAGCGGCCTCGTTCTCCTCCAATGCTGTACGTCGACAACAAGGCCGCCATTGCCTTGTGTCATGAGCACAGACTGGAGCACAAAACGAAGCACATCGCTCTCCGTTACTTTCTTGCTCGAGAGCTGCAGCAGCGTGGCCAGCTTCGTCTTACCTACGTGGCCACTCGGGCCAACACTGCTGATATATTCACCAAGGCACTTCCGCCTGGTGATCATCAGCGTTTCTGCACTTTGTTAGGCCTTGTGCCCACTCTTCCTCACTTGCTGTAGGCTTTGTTTGTACCATGATTTATATGTATTTCTGCATGCTTGTTCTTGTAAGTAGATTTCACTGTACTGTTGTTGTTACATATATATCTCTGCATGTGAACTGGCCTTGTGGCCTTCTTGCTTGTGCTCAGACTGCGTGGTGACGTTGTGATCCACCCTGAGCTTGCTTTGCACTTCCTGACTGGTCTTGTGACCCTCTGTTCTCCCCCACTCTGCCTATGGGGGTGTGTCAAACATATGTATATCTATGTTATATTTTGGGTAGGCTTAGTGGGGTACACACTATGGGGTACAACCCCTTAGGTTCATTTTCCTTGTACCAACCTTCTCGATAGTCGACATCACTCATGCCTAGCTTCTAAGAACAGCTTCCGTGGCACTCTCTGTAACGGCGTGTTTTTTAGCGCAAACGGCTCGAATAGTTGGCAGAGCGGAGCAGGTGGATGTAACCTGGCAAGCTAGGAGAACAACGTGAATGGTGTCTTTGGGCTCGCAGGAGCGAGGTAAGTGGAATTGGGATGAGCAACCAGGCGACGAGCGAACGTAGTCATGCGACACACCTCAGGGAGACAGATGACAAGCTTTCGAGCCCAGTGGGCTGCTTGCAAACGAAGTCCCTTGGGGTGAAGCTGCCACACGACTTGATGCCCACGGCGACGCTAACTCGCTGGTGATTGGACAACGCTTTTCTGCGCACCTAGTTTCCGCATTCTAAGCGGTTGGATTTCCGTTCAACAATACGCGATTGAACATAAATTTACATTAATTTGAGCACTAGTAGTGCATACAGTCCAGACAAACATCTTACTGCTTGCACGTTTTTTAAAACACTTGAGAGACCACTCCACCTTCCCTAACCCCTTAGTCAACCTCCTCAATCTTGGGGCCATCACCTCCGCTAGAAGAACCTCCACCCATAGGGACATCCCCCATACCTCCCGCACCTGGCACGGGTCCAACCCCGCCTTGGTACATTTTCGCAATGATCGGGTTACAAATGCCTTCGAGCTCCTTTTGCTTGTCCTCGAATTCGTCCACGTCGGCGAGCTGGTTCTTATCCAGCCAATCAATCGTCTCGTCAACAGCCTTCTCGATCGCCTTCTTATCCTCAGGCGAGAGCTTCCCCCCGAACTTGTCATCGCGAACCGTGTTACGCATGCCGTACGAGTAGTTCTCGAGGGCGTTTTTCGCCTCAACCCGCTTCTTGTGCTGCTCATCGTCATCCTTGTACTTCTCTGCTTCCTCAACCATCCGCTCTATCTCCTCCTTGCTCAATCGGCCCTTATCATTCGTGATAGTAATCTTATTCTTCTGCCCCGTAGTCTTGTCCTCCGCGCTCACGTTTAGGATGCCGTTCGCGTCGATGTCGAACGTCACGGTGATCTGCGGCACGCCACGTGGCGCCGGCGGAATTCCCGAGAGCTCGAACTTTCCGAGCAGATTGTTATCCTTAGTCCGAGCGCGTTCACCTTCGTAGACCTGAATTAGCACTCCCGGCTGGTTATCCGAAAACGTCGAGAAGACCTGGTCCTTCTTCGTCGGAATCGTGGTGTTCCTCGGAATCAGCACCGTCATAACCCCTCCAGCCGTTTCTAATCCAAGCGAGAGCGGCGTCACGTCGAGCAGCAGCAGGTCCTGCACCTTCTCGTTCCCCTCGCCACTTAAAATCGCCGCCTGAACCGCCGCGCCGTACGCCACGGCCTCGTCGGGGTTGATGCTCTTGCAGAGCTCCTTCCCGTTGAAATAATCCTGCAGCAGCTGCTGCACCTTGGGAATGCGCGTCGACCCGCCGACGAGCACCACGTCGTGAATCTGTGCCTTGGACATTTTCGCGTCCTTAAGGCATTTTTCCACCGGATCCATGCACTTGCGGAACATGTCCATGTTGAGTTCCTCGAAGCGCGCGCGGGTGATGGTGGTATAGAAGTCGACTCCCTCGTAGAGCGAGTCGATCTCGATGGTCGTTTGCGCGGTGGAGGAGAGAGTTCGCTTGGCGCGTTCGCAAGCCGTGCGAAGTCGGCGAAGAGACCGTGGATTGTTACTCAATTCCTTCTTATACTTTCGCTTGAACTCCTGAACGAAATGGTTCACCATGCGATTGTCGAAGTCTTCACCACCCAAATGAGTGTCGCCAGCCGTCGCCTTCACCTCGAATATACCGTCCTCGATCGAAAGAAGCGAGACGTCGAAAGTTCCGCCGCCAAGGTCGAAGATAAGCACATTCTTCTCGGACGAGCTGCTATTCTTCTTATCGAGCCCGTACGCGATAGCAGCCGCAGTCGGCTCATTGATAATCCGCATCACGTTCAGCCCAGCAATCGCACCCGCATCTTTCGTAGCCTGACGCTGCGAATCATTGAAATAGGCCGGAACCGTCACCACCGCATTCTTCACGGTAGTCCCGAGGTAAGCCTCCGCAATCTCCTTCATTTTCGTCAGCACCATGGACGAGATTTCTTCCGCGGCGAATTGCTTCGTCTCGCCCTTGTACTCGACTTGGATCATTGGCTTCTCGCCCGCGCCTGCGATCACCTTGAAAGGCCACAGCTTGATGTCACTCTGCACGGGCGCGTCAGAGAATCGCCGTCCGATGAGACGCTTCGCATCTGCAAGCAGGTCAAGTGAAGAGTAAAGTGAGAAATCAGCAGGCATGACGAATGAGCGAGGGCAGGCACATTCATGGTATGCTATCATTCAGTGCGGAAGTAGGGGTGCAGGAAGCGGAGTGTCGGAAATGGTGGATGATTCAGCATGGGGACGTACCGAAAACGGTGTTGACTGGATTCATGGACACTTGGTTCTTGGCCGCGTCGCCAATCAGGCGCTCTGTGTCCGTGAATGCCACGTAGGACGGGGTGGTGCGGTTGCCCTGGTCGTTGGCGATGATCTCAACACGATCGTGCTGCCACACGCCCACGCAGCTGTAGGTGGTGCCGAGGTCGATTCCAATAGCAGGGCCTTCTCCCTTGGCCATGAGTGAGATATGGGAACGAGTTCTCAGGTACTGTGATGAAAATAATGAAGAGCGAAGAGAGTCTTTGGGGCTGAGTGAACTCCAGAAAGTGTCAGAGAGCAATTGAAAGCTGAGTCTTGAGAGGCGCGAGAGCGTGATCGTCGAGAGAGAGTTGAGAGCTATTTGCTGTTTTGATTTTATGAACCGTAACTGCGAGTCCAACCGTATATAGCTATTGACAGAGAAGTGAATCAAAAGCGTTCCTGGTGGAGGGAATGACTGGAGCTTGCAGAAGCTGCCAGAAGTTGAATGGATTTCAAACCTAGAAGCTGCTGGAATCAGGCAGATTGGCCTTGCGAATTCCACATTGGGATGAAGCGCGGTGCGGGAATTTCACATTGGGCGTCTCGAGAACTTTCAGCTGCAGACGTGGCAAGAAACTGATGGCTGGTGCCAAATCAACGGTGCTTGCTGAGAAACGAATGTTCAAGAATCTCTGCGACCGCGATAGGCGAGGCGAGGCTGTCAAAGTCGAGACCACGTGATGTATTGTACTGTACAGTTACACCTTTCAAGTGGTCAGTGTAAAAATGTTGGATGTTCCAAAGTTCCCTCGTTATAGGCAAAACAAGTCTTTCAGCTGACATAGGCGGTTGTTACTGAACAAAATTCCAGCCTCTGCGGAATCTCGCGAAGAATAAGAGAGTTCGCACACAAGGACGGAGGCTCGATTTGTTCGAAAGGTGAGCCATCGCGACAATGTCCCTTGGTTACTATTGGTCGCGAATCCACCAAGCTGAATCCGAGATGCCCCAGAAGTAGCATCTTCGCCTTCAGTGGATCCGGTGAACCGGATTACCATCAGAACAAAATGGAAAACTTTGAGACCAGTTTCCCAGTCGCAAGAATCTGAGTTGCAAGAATCTGGCTCCTAAGAACGGGCCTGCGACGACGGTTTGAGCGCTACGGGTTTTAGAATCCATTGCGCTCGTCGAACGCGAACCTATCCTAATCACAACCCGAAATGACATCGGAAACGGAAACTGTTCCAGAACCCGCTGGCGCGCCGCAGATGGTGTCGCCTGGTGACGCGTCGGACGCGGATTGGGTGATCAACCTCTGGTCCGGACCGCGGTCTCTCAGCACCAGCCTCATGTACTCCTTCGCTCAGGCACGGATGATCCCAGTCTAGCACGAATGTGGGCTGTGCCAGGATCAAGGCACGCTCGCAGCTTGTAACGGATATTGCTCCTTTACTCAGCAAAAGCCTCATTTACTCCTTCGCTCAAGAACGAAACGATCCAAATCTCCTTTATGCACAGCTGCTCGCGTTTTAGGACAGTATAGGACAGATTCAGGACGGTAAAAGAATGTTCACCGCATGTAACGGGTTCTCGTCTCAGGCACGGCTAATCTCAGGCACGGCTAATCTCAGGCACGGCTCATCTCAGGCACGGCTAACCTCAGGCACGGCTAATCTCAGGCACGGCTCATCTCAGGCACGGCTAATCTCAGGCACGGCTCATCTCAGGCACGGCTAACCTCAGGCACGGCTAATCTCAGGCACGGCTAATCTCAGGGACGGCTAATCTCAGGCACGGCTAATCTCAGGCACGGCTCATCTCAGGCACGGCTAACCTCAGGCACGGCTAATCTCAGGCACGGCTAATCTCAGGCACGGCTAATCTCAGGCACGGCTAATCTCAGGCACGGCTAATCTCAGGCACGGCTAATCTGGGTCCACTGCCAAAGTTATACGCAAGTTCCAAAGTTTTAGTACGGAAGTTCACAAATAAGATTCACAGTCACTGGCTTTCTCAAGCCGTCCCACTCCCGGATAGCACGCTCACATCTCCCCAATCCTCTTCCCCTCCCTCTCTCAGCCTCTGTATGCCGACTTCCTGGCCCTCGTGAGCTGACATCCCTCTACATCTCACCATCCGCCTCCCCTCCCCATGCCTTTTGAAGCGCCTCAAAAGTCACTACATCTCACCATCCGCCTCCCCTCCCCATGCCCCTCATCACTCCCTCTTCCAGAACCCAGACACGGAGGTGGTGGAATAGCTTCTGTATGCCGACTTCCTGGCAGTCACCAGTGCTCCCAACGCCCTCCCCCCCCGTTCCCCCCTGTTCCCTCCCTCCCCACCACCTCCCTCTCTTTCTGCAGCGCCCAGACACGGAGGTGGTGGACGAGCCTCTGTATGCCCACTTCCTAGCCGTCACCGGTGCTGCCAACACCCTTCACCCCCCCCTTTCTCCCCCACTCCCCCCTGGATCTTCTCTCCCTGCAGCGCCCAGACACGGAGGTGGTGGACGAGCCTCTCTATGCCGACTTCCTCACAGTCACTGGTGCTGCCCAGCCGTCCCACACCCGTCTCACTCCCAGATCGTATTCTGACACCCCACTACCTCCCCACTCCTCTCATCCCTCTCCCCGTGACACCCTTCTCTCCCTGCAGCGCCCAGACACGGAGGTGGTTGACGAGCCTCTGTATGCCGACTTTATGAACCGCATGACCCTTCCACTTGCCCCACAATCCCCCCTCCCCGTCCCTCTCTCAGCGCCCAGACACGGAGTTGGTGGACGAGCCTCTGTATGCCCACTTCCTGACAGTCACCGGTGCTCCGCGGCCGTACAGGCAGCTGGTGCTGGATAGCATGGTGAGATAGAAGAGTGTGCTGTGCAGTATGGCACGGTGGTACATTACCTCATGTTGGTATGGGAGCTCTAACAGTCACGGGTGCGCCCCGGCCGTACAGGCAGCTGGTGCTGGATGGCATGGTGAGATAGAAGCAGATGGGATGGTGAAATGCGAGTTGTGTGGCATGGTGGTTTGGCCTCTGGCTGTCACCGGTGCGCCCCGGCCATACAGGCAGCTGATGCTGGATGGCATGGTGAGATAGAAGTGTGTGCTGTGCGGTATGGCATGGTGAGGCGAGAGGAAACGGGGATAGCAGGGTGCATTATAGCAGATGATAGAGATAAAGCATGGCCCCAGCAGTCACCGGTGCTCCCCAGCCGTACAGGCAGTTGGTGCTGGGTAGCATGGTGAGATAAGAAAGGGGATAGCAGGGTGCATTATAGCAGATGATAGAGATAGAGCATGGCCCCAGCAGTCACCGGTGCTCCCCAGCCGTACAGGCAGTTGGTGCTGGGTAGCATGGTGAGATAAGAAAGGGGATAGCAGGGTGCATTATAGCAGATGATAGAGATAGAGCATGGCCCCAGCAGTCACCGGTGCTCCCCGGCCATACAGGCAGCTGGTGCTGGGTAGCATGGTGAGATGAGATGGGATAGAGGGGGCCAGCATGGTGCGACAGTGGGTGCTGTGGTGATGGTGCTCGATAGTAGCATAACAAGGTGGTAGTGCGTGCTGTGCTTTGCTGTGCTGTGTAACATGGGGCTAAATCATGTGATTCTTTATTTGACTCAACGGATTCTTTAACTGTCTTCCCCTTTTTTGGCAGGATTCCAACGGCAAGAGGGTGGTAGATCAAGTCGTTTTCGGCCCCCGAAGCTCCAAACCTCTTCGTTTTGTTAAGGTGATCTTATCCAAAGATTCGTTTGCTCCAATACACTTGCTTTGTGTACTCGTTGTATCAATCAGTGCGCTGTTTCCTTTTCTCCCTCCTCAGGGAACCGCCTCAAACATCTCACGCATTCGTGGCTTCCTCCCTCCTCCCCCAATCTGTCAGGCAAAGGAGTGAGCTCATGCATGCATCATCACAGAGCCCTTCCCCTCCACTCCCACACTGTTCTCAGTACATAGCAAAGCAGTGCCGGGAGGAGCTTCAGGCGTCGCTACTGTCACTCGCTCTCAGTTACCACTCACTAACTCACTCACTCACTCACTAACTCACTCACTAACTCACTCACTCACTCACTCACTCACTCACTCACTCACTCACTAACTCACTCACTCACTCACTCACTAACTCACTAACTCACTCACTCACTCACTCACTAACTCACTCACTCACTCACTAACTCACTCACTCACTCACTCACTCACTAACTCACTCACTCACTCACTCACTAACTCACTCACTCACTCACTAACTCACTCACTCACTCACTCACTCACTAACTCACTCACTCACTCACTCACTAACTCACTAACTCACTCACTCACTGACTCACTAACTCACTAACTCACTCACTAACTCACTCACTAACTCACTAACTCACTCACTCACTCACTCACTAACTCACTAACTCACTCACTAACTCACTAACTCACTCACTCACTCACTCACTAACTCTGAGTGTACGACCACGCATGTCAGCAACGCTTCTCATTCACTTCCCCCTCCTACCCACTGGCAGCACATGGCGAAGCAGTGCAGAGAGGAGCTTCAGGCTTCGCTGCTGTCACGCGGGCGGCATGTCATTCTCATCCGCGACCCCATGCTGCTCATCGTGAGGCGCGCACTCACTCACTCTCAGTGTGACACGCACTCGCTCACTCACTCACTTGCTCTCTAGCTTGCTCTCCGGCCGGCATGTCATTCTCATCCGCGACCCCATGCTGCTCATTGTGAGGCGCACAGTCTTTTTTGCTCACTCGCTCGCTCACGCATTCACTCACTCACTCACTCACTCACTCACAATGGATGTCCTTTTTTTGTTCCTTATCCATGGAAAGAATTCTCTCGTAGACGCTGCTTCTTACCACCATCATCTGAAGTGCCTTTTGAGGCGCCTCCAATGTCCTTTCTTTGTTCTTTCTCCACGGAAAGAATTCTCTCGTAGACGCTGCTTCGTCCCACCATCACCTCAAGTGCGCTTTCTAACCTCCTGTGCTACATCCTACCTTCACCATCACTGCATTTCGCTCTCCTTTTTGCCTCTCCCCACCCCCATCCCCCTGCCAGCCATCCTTCGGTGAGGTCTCCCCCCCTTCTCTCTCCGAGACGGCTCTCCCCCACCTCCTCACCATCCACTCTGCGCTCTCCCACATGGGCCGACCCCCGCCTGTGGTGGACGCTACCCAGCTGCAGTCCAACCCCCAGGTAACCCGGCAATCCCACCCGCAGGTACCTCTATCATTGCCCCCTACCTTGGTCTCCCTGAGGCGGCTCTCCCGCACCTCCTCGCCATCCACCACTCTTCTCTCTCCAACATGGGCCGACCCCCGCCTGTGGTAGATGCTACCCTACTGCAGTCCAACCCCCAGGTACCCTCCCAACATCATGCCCATCCTGCCTTCCTTTGGGTTGGACTGGTCTAATCTCCCCTCCTTCTCTCTCTGAGACGGCTCTCCCCCACCTTCTCGCCATCCACTCTTCTCTCTCCAACATGGGCCGACCCCCACCTGTAGTGGACGCCACCCAACTTCAATCCAACCCCCAGGTACCCTCCCTCGTCATCCCCCTCCTGTCAGCCCTCCTGTGGGCTGGAGTGGTTTGGTCTTTCCCCCCCTCCGTCTCTCTCTGAGACGGCTCTCCCGCACCTCCTCGCCATCCACTCCACGCTCTTCCTCATAAGCCGACCGCCGCCCGTGGTCGACGCTACCCTACTGCAATCCAACCCTCAGGTACCCTGCAGTGATATGGATCGATGCCTTTACTACCACCCTAGCGGTAGTCTCTCCCCCTCTGCTCTTTCTGAGACGTCTCCCCGCACCTCCTCGCCATCCACTCCACGCTCTCCCTCATGGGCCGAACCCCGCCTGTGATCGACACCAGAAGGCTGCAATCCAAGCCTCAAATTCTGTTGCCATCACACCTTCAATCTGAGACAGCTTTAAACTAAATACTCTCCGAGCTTGCACCTGCTGTGCTCACCCTCTTGCCTCCCTGCCCCGTGCATGCCTTGCCCTTATCCAACAGGGCGTTCTCATGGCTCTCTGCCAAGCGCTAGACATCCCTTTCTATCCAGAAATGCTCTCGTAAGTGTAGCAGGGTCAAACTCTGTATGTTAATATCTTAGGTAAGATTGAACGGATATTATGATTTGTGCTGTTTGAAGAGGTGCAGCGTCCTTTATTGAGACACCTAGAGGTATCTATGCATGAGACATCTCTATCAAATCTTATTTTTTATGTCTGTCTTTGAGCCCCTGAAAGTTTGCATCACCTCCATATTCCTTCTCGCTGTGCTCCTTTTCAACCCGCCCCCACCCCTCCTCTAACCTTATTTCCCCAGCTGGCCTGCAGGCAAGCGCCCAGAGGACGGGGTGTGGGCTCCGTGGTGGAATACCACCGCCACACATGCCCCATGGCAGTCTTTTGAGACGTCTCAAAAGTCACACATGCCCCATGGCAGTCTTTTGAGACGTCTCAAAAGTCACACATGCCCCATGGCAGTCTTTTGAGACGTCTCAAAAGTCACACATGCCCCATGGCAGTCTTTTGAGACGTCTCAAAAGTCACACATGCCCCATGGCAGTCTTTTGAGACGTCTCAAAAGTCACACATGCCCCATGGCAGTCTTTTGAGACGTCTCAAAAGTCACACATGCCCCATGGCAGTCTTTTGAGACGTCTCAAAAGTCACACATGCCCCATGGCAGTCTTTTGAGACGTCTCAAAAGTCACACATGCCCCATGGCAGTCTTTTGAGACGTCTCAAAAGTCACACATGCCCCATGGCAGTCTTTTGAGACGTCTCAAAAGTCACACATGCCCCATGGCAGTCTTTTGAGACGTCTCAAAAGTCACACATGCCCCATGGCAGTCTTTTGAGACGTCTCAAAAGTCACACATGCCCCATGGCAGTCTTTTGAGACGTCTCAAAAGTCACACATGCCCCATGGCAGTCTTTTGAGACGTCTCAAAAGTCACACATGCCCCATGGCAGTCTTTTGAGACGTCTCAAAAGTCACACATGCCCCATGGCAGTCTTTTGAGACGTCTCAAAAGTCACACATGCCCCATGGCAGTCTTTTGAGACGTCTCAAAAGTCACACATGCCCCATGGCAGTCTTTTGAGACGTCTCAAAAGTCACACATGCCCCATGGCAGTCTTTTGAGACGTCTCAAAAGTCACACATGCCCCATGGCAGTCTTTTGAGACGTCTCAAAAGTCACACATGCCCCATGGCAGTCTTTTGAGACGTCTCAAAAGTCACACATGCCCCATGGCAGTCTTTTGAGACGTCTCAAAAGTCACACATGCCCCATGGCAGTCTTTTGAGACGTCTCAAAAGTCACACATGCCCCATGGCAGTCTTTTGAGACGTCTCAAAAGTCACACATGCCCCATGGCAGTCTTTTGAGACGTCTCAAAAGTCACACATGCCCCATGGCAGTCTTTTGAGACGTCTCAAAAGTCACACATGCCCCATGGCAGTCTTTTGAGACGTCTCAAAAGTCACACATGCCCCATGGCAGTCTTTTGAGACGTCTCAAAAGTCACACATGCCCCATGGCAGTCTTTTGAGACGTCTCAAAAGTCACACATGCCCCATGGCAGTCTTTTGAGACGTCTCAAAAGTCACACATGCCCCATGGCAGTCTTTTGAGACGTCTCAAAAGTCACACATGCCCCATGGCAGTCTTTTGAGACGTCTCAAAAGTCACACATGCCCCATGGCAGTCTTTTGAGACGTCTCAAAAGTCACACATGCCCCATGGCAGTCTTTTGAGACGTCTCAAAAGTCACACATGCCCCATGGCAGTCTTTTGAGACGTCTCAAAAGTCACACATGCCCCATGGCAGTCTTTTGAGACGTCTCAAAAGTCACACATGCCCCATGGCAGTCTTTTGAGACGTCTCAAAAGTCACACATGCCCCATGGCAGTCTGCTAATGCACCACGCGTGCTATCTCTCCCCTCTGTTCTGCCTTCCCAAGTTGGCCGGCAGGCAAGCGCCCAGAGGATGGGGTGTGTGGGCTCCCTGGTGGTATACCACCACGCATGCTACAGTTCTAGGCAGCACGCAGTCTCTCTCTCCCCTCCCCCCAACCCCACTCCTTTCCCTTCCTCCCGCAGCTGGCCTGCAGGCAAGCGACCAGAGGACGGGGTGTGGGCTCCCTGGTGGTATACCACCACGCATGCCTCCACTGGTTTCGCCCCTCCTGCTCTTTACCCCAAGGTGACCTGCCCTGTTCTTCACTCATAGTCACAGAAGAACAAAGGTGTGGGCTCCCTGGTGGTATACCACCACGCATGCCTCCACTGGCTTTGCTCCCCCCGCTCTGTACTTCAAGGTGACCTGCCCTGTTCTTCTCTCATAGTCACAGAAGAACAAAGGTGTGGGCTCCCTGGTGGTATACCACCACGCATGCCTCCACTGGCTTTACTCCTCCCGCTCTGTACCCCAAGATGCCCTAGAATTCACTGCGTTTCATTTGCCTTCACCTCACCTCACCTCACCTCACCTCACCTTACCTCACCTCACTTCACTTCACTTCACGTTGCTCATGCACCTAGACGTCCCTCACTTTAGCTCACTCACTTCACATCCCAACCATTCCCAGTGGGCCATCATATGTAACTGGAGAAAGACCGCAAAAACCTTTGCACCACTCAGCACCACTGCCAACTCCCTGTTTCTCTTTCCACTTCCCTCTCCTCACTTCCCTCCCTCTCCTCTCAGCCATTCCCAATGGAGCACTACTCTCTGCTAGAGGACTGCCGCCCATTCTACTCCTTGCTCCACTCCAAAGCCCTCGTACCGCTCACCACCGCTGCCGACTCCTCCACCACCGCTCCCACCACCATCTCCCCCTATCCCTCTGTCTCTCCTCTCCCCTCGCCCCCTCTCCCTGTGCCGGCCAACAAGCAGCTGCTGGTGTGGGTGGGGGAGGAGGGTCTAGTGCCACAACGAGATGCCAAGGTAGGGTTGAACCATGTGCCTCTAAAGTCTTCACTTCAACCGTGCATGTGCCATCATGTGCCATCATGTCCCATCATGTGCCATCATGTGCCATCATGTCCCATCATGTGCCATTATGTGCCATCATGTCCCATCATGTGCCATCATGTGCCATGGTTACGGTGTAGCGAGATTTTGGCATCAGGTGAAGGTTATATCTGAGACTGAGAGCTCTCAAAACACCAGGAAAAATCCAGGTGCATGTGTGAGTGTTCGCCCCCTCGTCACTCTCTCCTCCCTATATTCTCACTCACTGTCCATCCTATCTGTCCCCCCACTCTATCTCCCCTGAATTGATCTATGGCAGATTCACGTGCTGGACTCTGCAGTGCAAGGGGGAGACGCTGTGTGGGAGGGTCTGAGAGTGTACGATGGACGCATATTCAAGCTGCAAGAGCATCTTGACCGGTGAGCTTCTATTTACACTCTTTCCTCCCTCTCATTCGCAAGAATCACTTAGTAATTTTCCAGACTCTTTCCTCCCTCTCATCCCGTGTGGGAGGGGCTGAGAGTGTACGATGGGCGCATATTCAAGCTGCACCTCGACCGGTGAGCAAGTCTATCAACTGCCCCTGAACGCCTTGCCCCACACACTCGCTTGTCTTGTACACTCCTCAACACTCCTTCTCTCCCTCCCATCCTCTCCCTCCCCCGTCTCTTCAACTCTGCCAAGGCCGTGGTGTAGTTTTGAGGCGCCTCAAAACTACACTCTGCCAACGCCGCGGTGTTTGCAAATGTGCCAACATGGAACCAACCACGTGGTGCATGCACTGGTGTCAACCCTACTCTGAACGGCTCATGTTTTGAGGCGCCTCAAAACAAAACCCTTGTAAGCATTTGCAAATGTGCCAGCACGGAACCACGTGGTGCATGCACTCCCCCACCACGTGGTGCATGCACTCCCCCACCACGTGGTTCAGTGTCAACCCTACTCTGAACGGCTCATGCACACCCCCACAATCCCCTTACCCACTGTAACAACTCCTTTTCCCCAGTCTCTTTGACTCGGCCAAGGCTATGGCATTTGCGAATGTGCCAACACGGGAGCACGTGGTGTATACACCGGGGTCAACCCTCCTGTGCTGTGTACATGCCCTACCCCCTCTCCTCCCCACCAAATCGACAGTCTCTTCGACTCTGCCAAGGCTATGGCATTTGCAAATATGCCAACACGGGAGCACGTGGTGTATGCACTGATGTCGACTCTCCTGTGCTCACGCCCTATCCCCTATCCTCCCCTTTCCCACCATAACAACAGTCTCTTCGACTCTGCCAAGGCTATGGCATTTGCGAACGTGCCACCACGGGAGCATGTGGTGCAGGCACTGTTGTCCACCCTTGCTGCCAATGGCATGAGGGACAACGCTCATGTCCGACTCACCCTCACTCGCGGGAAGAAGGTAGGTGCTTATCCCCCCCACATGCGGCAGCATGAAAACACTCGGTGCATGCACTGGTGTCAAGGGTTTGGGGTCAACGGCATGAAGGTGGGGCAAGAAAGCGTTTAGTGTTTCCTATCAATTTCCTGACACGAGGGGGTGGAAGAAGAATCAACTTCCTATCAGGGGAGGAAATATTCCTTCAATCAGTGTGTGTGTGTGTGTGTGTGTGTGTGTGTGTGTGTGTGTGTGTGTGTGTGTGTGTTTGCGTGTGTGTGCGTGTGTGTGCATGTGTGTGTGCATGTGTGTGTGTGCGTGTGTGTGCATGTGTGTGTGTGCGTGTGCGTGTGTGTGCATGTGTGTGTGTGTGCGTGCGTGCGTGCGTGCGTGTGTGTGCACTTGTGTTGTGTGCCTGCTATCCAGACTACATCAGGGATGAGCCCTCAATTCAATCTCTATGGTTGCACACTAATCGGTGAGTGAATCACAGCTGTTGCAATTTCTACTACTCAACAACCATGTACTTCTTGCACTTTATCGTTTGCCCCGTGTTATATCACCGACCCTTGTCACTGCACCATTACCACGGGCTCTTGCATCTCCCATTCCTTCTCCCCCTCCCACTCCCAATCCCACTCCCACCATGCCCTCTCGGTCCTCTCTAAGTGAAAGCCCCATGTGTACGAGAGCGCACGGGGCATCAAGCTTATCGCCACGCCTCTGTTTCTCACCCTCTTTCACTCCCACTCCCAATCCGTCCCCGACGCCCTCTCCCACTCTCACCCCCACTACGCTTTTTCAGTTCTCGTGGAGTGGAATCTCCACGTGTAAGATAACACAAGGGGCATCAAGCTCATCACGGCACCAACCTGCGCTTCTTACCCTCTCCCACTCCCACCCACTCTCTCACTCCGTCTTCCACTTCCGCCCCACTCAGTCCTGGCGGAGTGGAAACCCCCAGTGTACGACAACACACGGGGCATCAAGCTTGTTACTGCCTCTACTCGAAGAAACTCACCACAAGTCAGATCTTCCCCTTCCTCTCCCTCTCCTCCACATTTTTTTTTTTGCATTAATTAACAATTGGCAACTTCCTCTCCTTCTCCTCCTCTCATATCTCCCCTCTGATCTCGTGGTACACCTGTCACTCTGTCCTCTCCCTTCCTCTATGTGAGGTCATTTCCTTCCTCTTCTTTTTCCCCTCTCAAAGAAACTCAATTTAACTGAGATATCTCTCTCCTCTGTAAGCCCCCTCACTTTTTTTTCCCGTCTCCCAAAAACAGTCTTTGATTCACTTGCCCTTTCCTGCCTCCCTCCCGACGAGCAGTGTCTGGATTCGAGCATCCCTCGCACCAACCAATCCATTCAGTTCAATGACCCCCATCCCCATCTCTCTCGCGCGTTGACTTTACCTTTCCCTGCCTCCCTCCCTGAAAACAGTGTGTGGATTCGCACATCCACCACAACAACCTCATTAATAACATCCTCGCTAAGGTAACTGGCTAGTAGAGGTGCAGTCTGCAGCATTACAGCTCTCCTAGTCGCGATGGCAAAGCAACAATCCTAAAAAAAAAAAAAAAAAAAAAAAAAAAAACTAGTCAGCGAAACCAATGTATGCTTCTGTGTGATGCATTGGTTCTACATACTGGACGTCTTGATTTGAAACCAATGCATGCCCCTATGTCATGTGGTTCTGTGCCTGCAGATCGAGGGGAACAACGCAGGGGCAGACGATGCAGTGATGCTCGACGTGCATGGATATGTCAGCGAAACCAACGCTACCAACATTGTAGGCGTTTCCTTTCCACTTCAGAGCCTTCTGTGAATTCAACAGTGCATTCTGTGCGTTCAACAGTGCATTCTGTGCGTTCAACAGTGCATTCTGTGCGTTCAACAGTGCATTCTGTGCGTTCAACAGTGCATTCTGTTATTCCTATCCGTCGAATGATTCTGGGCTCTGTTCTCCAGTTCCCCTCGTCTTCTCCTCCTTGCTCTTTCCCCTGTCAGTTGATGGTGAAGAGAGGCCGCATCTTGACTCTGCTCCCTCTCATTCCCTCTGCCTCCCCTCCCCCCTCTTCATACCTGTCAGTTCATGGTGAAGAGAGGCTGCATCTTAACCCCTCACGCCGACAGCTGCTTGCCAGGCATCACCCGCGCCACGGTAATGCATGAGGGGGAAAGTGGGGCAAGAGAAAGGGGAAGAACTTGAGGGCTGACAGCTGCTTGCCAGGCATCACCCGCGCCACGGTAATGCATGAGGGGGAAAGTGGAGCAAGAGAAAGGGGAAGAACTTGAGGGCTGACAGCTGCTTGCCAGGCATCACCCGCGCCACTGTACTGCATGGGGGACTTAGAGTGGGGGGTTGGGGGGGGAAGCAAGAGAAAGGGGAAGAACTTGAGGGATTTTCATGCTGATTTCCGTGCTGACAGCTGCCTGCCAGGCATCACCTGCGCCACTGTTCTGCATGGGGACTTAGAGTGGGGGGTGGGCGGCTAGGGGCCAACATTAGAAATGGGAAGGCGCGGAGCAGATTGTGGGGCACAATATGCTCCCTTCTGAGGCGCCTCAAAAGGTGTGGAGCGAATCATGGGGCACAATATGCTCCCTATCCCCATCCTGACACTGTCCATTCATCCACCCATGCATTGTTCTTAATCCCCTTCCGGACATGCCTGGCAGGTTATTGAGCTGGCAAGACAGGAAGGGATCCCCATCCAGGAGTGCAACATCACCACGGCTCAGCTGCTCCCTACCCCTACCCCCCATCCTGACGCCATCCATTCACCCACCCGTTCGTTGTTTTTAATCCCCTTCCGGTCATGCCTGGCAGGTTATTGAGCTGGTGAGACAGGAAGGCATTCCCATTCAGGAGTGCAACATCACCACTGCTCAGCTGCATGCTGCTGACGAGGTGAGGCATGAAGTGAGACACGGCATTTGAGGCACCCCAATAAGCAAGGCAGGAAGGCATTCCCATTCAGGAGTGCAACATCACCACGGCTCAGCTGCAGGCTGCTGACGAGGTGAGGCATGGGTGAGATACATAGTTTGAGGCACCCCGGTAAGCGTGGCAGGAAGGTATTCCCATCCAGGAGTGCAGCAGCTGCATGCTGCTGATGACGTGAGATGTGTTATTCGATGCACCTCAAAAGGCGAGGTAAGAAGGTGTGTCTATCCAGGAGCACCAATCATGTCTATTACGTGATTGAGCTGGCGAGGCAGGAAGGCATCCCCATTCAGGAGTGCAACATCACTACAGCTCAGCTTCACGCTGCCGACGAGGTGAGGCATGAGTGAGACACGTAGTTTGAGGTGCCTCAGTAAGCGAGACAGGAAGGATTCCCATTCAGGAGTGCAGCATCACCACGGCTCAGCTGCACGCTGCTGACTAGGTGAGGCATGGGGTGAGATACATAATTTGAGGCATCTCAGTAAGCGAGGCAGGAAGGCATTCCCATTCAGGAGTGCAACATCACCACTGCTCAGCTGCATGCTGCCGATGAGGTGAGATTGTTTGTTCAAAGCTACGGCACGTTCTTGTGTGCACACAAGCCAGTGCTTGTTTCTGATTTTCTTGTCAAGCTAAAAAAACTCCTTTTCTGACGAGCCTGGTCCCGTCCCCAGATATTCACTACGGGAACGATGGGGGAGCTTACACCTTGTGTGCTTCTGGACAATCGTCCAATCGGAAACAACCTAGATAGCAGTGGTTTCAGAGCAGATGGTGGAAGCTGTGTTGGGCCCATCACGCAGAAGCTTCAAGTGGCATACAAAAAACTTACATCAGTTGAAGGATGGCCATTGCCATTCTAATAGAGTATTACAATACCATTTTAGTGCAAGTGTTCAGTGTAAAAAGACAAAACTCGATATATGAAACCTGATGGTTCATGGCAATTAGATTCACAGACGCAACCATCATTTATAGCTTGAATTGAAGCTACCAGTAAGAATGGGGAGGGTGCAACACGCAATGGAGACTGTAACAAGAGCTAGAAATGTGCGCACTAACAAGCTAGATTCGTAAATGGGTCAGTGTAGAACGCACTGTACTATAAGCGCGGCACTCAGCAGACGAATCATAGAGATTTGCTTCCCTTCCCTCCCTCCCTTCCCGAAACAAGAGTCAAAGCGAAGCGGTAGATTCTGAAGGCTCGCCTCCTAATTGTAATTTCTTCAGTCGTCCACTCGCTTTCTCTTAGATCTCACGCTCGCATCCTCTGTTCCTAAACTCGGCCGACGGGTCGGCGACCCTAGTATTGCAAAAACTGATATTTTCCGTGCGCGAGAGCGAGAGCCGCCATCATGCCGGAAATCGATCCCGATCTCGACGAGAAGAACCCGCCGGCCCTCGATGAGGACGATATCGCTCTCCTAAAGACCTATGTGCGTTTTGCAGGGACCTTAGGATAGGAGACTATTGCGGAGGCTTCATTGCCGTTCAGATTCTCTGCAGATGTTTGGAGCCGACTCGTCAACCGTTGTTGCGTTCAGTTCAGATCGTTACGGAATTCAGTCGTCCGACAACTTTTGAGGCGCCTCAAAAGTCGCTGATGTTTGGAGCCGATTCGTCAACCATTCTCGTGTCCAAATCGTTAGGTAATTCAGTCGTCCGACAACCAAGCTTCCACCCTTGAATAGTTTCGATTGTTTCCTCTTTCCTTTCCCCCGATTTATTTCAACATGTAGGGTCTTGGCCCGTACTCAACGTCTATCAAGAAGGTTGAGAAGGATATTAAGGACATGGCCAAGAAGGTCAACGACCTATGTGGTAAGTCGTAGGCTTCTGAGTGTTTGATTATGTTGCTGACGATTATTCACTTGTGGTAACGGTCAACGACCTCTGCGTCCTCAGATTCGTGACGCTTGTAACGGTCCATTGCGGTCAATTGTCCGTCAGCTGTCCGTCAACCTTCGTCACGAGTTGAGCGCATTTCTTATCGTCCTGGCAGCGGTCGACAAGGAGCAAAAGCTGCCTGATCCGTTCAAGAGACGAATTCGTCACGTATAGAGTGTGAATTTCTGTTTCTAATGCATCAGGCACGTTAGCTCCTCTCCGGAAAAGTCATACCTAGAAGTCTTTTTAATCTGTTTTATAAGGAAGCTGGACATAGGAATTCGTTGCTCTATCTTTGCTCTCCGTTTTTCTACTTGATGTCGCCGATGTCACTTGATGTCGCCTCCTGTAAGCTGATGCTATTTGTTGCCACATGATCTCGTCGGATGTCGCTCTGTGTCGCATGACATCGCCTGATGCCGCGTTATGTCGCATGGTGTCGCCTGAATGTCTGTGATGTTCCCACTGCAGGGATCAAGGAGTCGGATACTGGATTGGCTGCACCAAGTCAGTGGGATCTAGTGTCGGACAAGCAGATGATGCAGGAGGAGCAGCCGCTGCAGGTAAGCACGCTCCCACCCAGACACCCCTGGCTTTGTCTGATCCTCTTTTGAGTTAATTTGCTACAAGTCATTTGCAGTCTGGGTGCACCGATCCGAGCCAGTGGGATTTGGTGTCGGACAAGCAGATGATGCAGGAGGAGCAGCCGCTGCAGGCAAGCACACCCACCTCCGCGCACCCACACACTTCCTGCTTTCTCTGAGCCACTATTGAGTCGACGTACAAGGCACCTGACGTCTGGCTGCACCAAGCTAGTGGGATCTAGTGTCGGACAAGCAGATGATGCCGGAGGAGCAGCCGCTGCAGGCAAGCACACCCATTAGGCTTGCTTTTTTACGACTGACTGATCACGCCTGACTGACTGACCACAATCGACTGAATGAGCGTGCCTGACTGATCACGTCTGACTGACTGAGCACGCCTGACCGACCGAGCACGCCTGACTCAAACCCAGCTCACTTCTTCCTCTATCTCGTTGTTCAATCAGCGCACTTTTCATTCTCCTCTCTTCTTTTCCCTCTCTCCTCTCCTCTCTCCTCTCCTCTCGTCTTCCTCCTTTCCCCTATCCCCTCTCGTCCTCACAGGTGGCGCGCTGCACCAAGATCATCAACCCCAACACGGACGACGCCAAATATGATCACCTGAATTAATCTGTTCCCATTAACGCTCGATGCTCTCTCCTCTCTCACATCTCTCTGCCAGGTGGCACGCTGCACCAAGATCATCAACCCCAACACGGACGACGCCAAATACGTCATCAACGTGAAACAGATCGCCAAGGTTCGCCCTCTCCCTCTGTATGCTACCTAGGACTCCCCGAACGTGCTTCCTTTCCTCTCCCTCTGTAGCCCTCCGCTCCTCCTCTCCCCACCCCTTGCAACACGGACGACGCCAAATACGTCATCAACGTGAAGCAGATCGCCAAGGTGCGCAATCTTCTCTGTATACAAGACTCCCCGAATGCGCTTCCTTTATGGCCCTCCGCACCTCCTCTCCCCACCCCTTCCTCCCCCCTTCCCCACTCCCCTCCCCCCAGCCTTTGCACATGCACACCCTTACTTTACCATATTCTTATCTTCATTATGATGTGTGCTGTGTCAAGGTGCTTCTTAAGTAGTGCAGTCGCAATATTGAGTTGGTTCTTTATTAGTCTGTGTCTGCGTTCTGTATGCAGTGCGGAATTTCCTTTGTTCTGTTCGTAATGTCCTGCATTTTTTGCTTACTCATCGTTCTGTGTGTGCTTGCTGTGTGTGTGCTTGCTGTGTGTGCGTGCTGTGTGTGCGTGCTGTGTGTGCGTGCTGTGTGCAGTTCGTGGTGGGGTTGGGGGACCGCGTCTCGCCGACTGACATTGAGGAGGGCATGCGAGTGGGGTGAGTGCGTGTGTGCCATTTGATGCCACTCCGCCATGCCATCCATCATGCCACTCCGCCATGCCATCCGTCATGCCACTCCGCCATGCCACTCCGCCATGCCACTCCGCCATGCCACTCCGTCATGCCATCTGCCCTGCTATCCGTGGTGGGGCTGGGGGGGCGAGGAGGGCATGCGAGTGGGGTGAGTGCGAGCATGCGAGGTTTGAGGTGCCTCAACAGTCGTGGCGGGGTTGGGGGATTGCGTCTTACCCACTGATATTGAGGAGGGCATGCGCGTGTGGTGAGTGTGTCTGTGTGAAATCAAATGCCATCCACCACCATGCCATGCCATCCACCATGCCATCTTCCCGTCATCTGCTGATGCCCTGTTGCGGATGGTTTCACCTGAGTTGATCTAACTAAACAGCACTAGTAAGTCTGAGCTTTTGAGGCGCCTCAAAGATGCCCTGTTGCTGGTGGTTTCATTTGTGTTGATCCAACTAAACAGCACTACTGCGTCTGATTTTTCTCGTAAGCAGGTGCAACATGTTTCCGTTTCATGCTAAGTCGCTCTCTATTCATGCTAAGTCGCTCTCTATTCATGCTAGGTCGCTCTCTATTCATGCTAAGTCGCTCTCTATTCATGCAAAGTCGCTCTCTATTCATGATTATTTTGTTGTCCCTTGTGCAGAGTGGATCGCAACAAGTATCAAATCCAGATCCCCCTGCCGCTGGCGCTTCAGATCGACCCGTTATTCCCTGTGCATGCGTATTCGTCCCTTGTGCAGAGTGGATCGCAACAAGTATCAAATCCAGATCCCCCTGCCGCCCAAGATCGACCCGAGTGTGACAATGATGACAGTGGAGGAGAAACCGGATGTGACCTATGGGGACGTGGGCGGATGCAAGGAGCAGATCGAGAAGATGCGCGAGGTGGGTGGGTGGGGAGAGGGTATGTCTGTGTTTGAGTTGGCATTTGAGGTAGAGTGTGACAATGATGACAGTGGAGGAGAAACCGGATGTGACCTGGGTGCAAGGAGAAGATTGAGAAGATGCGAGATGTGCGTGGAGGGGTGGATGAGTGAGTTTGTGGGTGTAACAGAGGTAGGGGTGTGCGAGTGAGTCATTGTATAAGTGAGTGTGACGATGATGACAGTGGAGGAGAAACCGGATGTGACCTACGGGGACGTGGGCGGATGCAAGGAGCAGATTGAGACGATGCGAGAGGTGGGTGGGATTGAGTTGGTATTCGAGGGAGAGCATTTGATAGAGTGTTGCTTTTGTAGAA